ATTTCAGTATAATTAATAAGTAAAAAAAAAATTATTATTTTTTTTTTATATTTTTAACAATTTAAATTGAAAAATTACCTTGAATTTTAAGTACAATATCATGTCCCAGTCTCCCTAACAAAATAAACTTTTTCACTATAATTTTAAATTTTATTATTAAAAATTTAATTTTGAACAAATTAAAGTTTAAATCAATGAATAGTTGTCAAATAATTATATAACAGGTGTCAAATTTTTTTTATAGAAATTGTCATCTGTTTTACACATAATAAATTAAATTTAATTCACAATATAAAGTTTTTTGGTGAAATTAATATTAAATTTTAATTTTAGACTTATTAACTAATATATCGGATGACTATGCTTAGTACAAATAGTTGTTATAGCAAAATATATAGTAGCTATTAATTAATATAAAAAAAAACAGTGTCATCATTCATAGATGGGATAGGGAAAGACGAAATAATTTTATTATTATTATTGGTACTAATATATGGTATACAAATACTGCACGGAGACTTAACTGCATGATAAAATAAAGCGTTATAAGCTAAGAATATATTTAAACAAAATTAATGCTACAGTACAGCCCTGGTATAAATTAATTTTGCGCACCATAACATTTTATATATGACGACTAAAGACTAATAAAATAAGACTTCCTCCTGTAAGAAATTCAACCCAAAAAAATCAGGGTAACCACATAACCGGCTACAATTTGATATGAATGAAAACTATATCAGAAACTATTCTATGTGACAACGAAACGACCTTATGTACGAAAACTGAAGCTTAATTTCATAAGGGGGCAACCAAAGCAGATCCGATTAATCCATAGCACGAATAAGAGCAAAACGAAAGAAGCGTCTCTGCGCAACTTCAATATGATCTATATTAACATTACGAAATGGAGATCAAACCTGATATACGTACTCTAATATGCAATACTTATTCCTTATACTATATGATATAAAAGCGAATACCCTATACATTAAGTTAAATTTAACGTCATGCCACCTAGTGGACAGATTTTTAAAGAAAAATTATTTTATCAGTTTCCAGATTTTGATGTAGATTTTTTGTTAAAAATTCGTGTTATAAACAAAATTATCAAATTTCTGTTTATATGATAATAATGTGAGTAGAATTTTTGATTAATTATGACGTTGTCGGCGTTTGTAAAAAAAAACAGTTTAACAATACTAGTATGTAATTTGAAAACAACAATTAATATTAATTTGATTACTTTATTTGATTACATTTAAATGTTATGCAATTTTATATGTCAAGCAGATTATTTTATGTAAAAATTTAAAAAAATTGCATATGACTAGGCATGCATCATTTCAACCTGCTTTATTTTTTATATTAACATACCAATAGGATAAAGTTACACAATAATTTTCTACAAATACTAATATGTATTTTCAATTGACAAAAAAAATATTGTTAAAATTCAGAAAATAAGTACAAATATTAATTTATCTGTCTGACTGAATGCCTATTTAATGCAATTTATCAAGTTGCACTCAACAATCAAAATTATATTTTTAAATAGTTCAACTTGATTGATTGATATTAAGTCTACATTTACATGCCCCAGATTATTTTGTTATTTCTCTTAATTTTAACTTTTAATATAATAATAAGTGTAGTTATTTAATTCTTCGCTATATAAATTGGCATGTTTCCACTTCTGGCTAAAATATTAATTTATTTGTTGAACATTATAATGTACATTAATTCATTCATTACAAATTCAAATAGGTATTTTTAAATCAAAATCAAAAATTATTTTATTATTTAATTATAGAAAACCAAAATTCCATTGAAAATATTCATTACCCACAATAAAATTCATTTTTATTGCCCATAAACAATAAATATTTTTTCACTCCTAATATTTTTTTTGTGCGAAATAGTAATCAATCTGTATATGGTCTGATCAATATTTTGAATTGAATTTAATAAATAAAGAAAAAAACAACAAGAATTATTAAGGTAAAAAATCTAAAACTATATATGTACTTTTAAAATCTTTAAAACAAAGAAAAAGAGAAAAGGAGAAATTAGATATTACACTACTTTAATAAATTATTTGAATAACTTTATGCTTCCTTGCATTTTTATACTATATATTTACTAATAAAATTATATAAAAACAAAAAAAATAAATATAAATAAATATTTTTAATAGTAACCATTAAATTAAAACCCATACTTCTATTAAATTATCCCTTAAACCCTAAAAATTCCCTAAAGATTAAAGATTAAAAGCAAAAGGTTATATTAAATTTCTCCTCTGTCAGTCCAAAAATTCCTCCACAATTTCATATATGTATGTAAGAAACAAAAACAAGAATTTTAAACATTTTTTTCTCTTTTGCCATTCTCTTATTTTTGCGTTCTTTGAATTTTTAATAAAAGTATAAAAAATGTAACATGCAAAATTGCAACATGATGTGTAATCAACATATATATATACGTAAACAAAACTACTATACACACACGCAAATATATCGACTCTGATATTCAAATGAAATTATACGAAATAAATTGCCGTGAGCATTATTCTTTTTTTTTTTTATTTTTTATTATAAATTACATTGCAGAATTACTTTCCTGAATTGAACTTTGCAATATGGACTTAAATTGAAATTAATTCAGGATATTTACAGTACAATAAGTAACAAACAAAAAAAAAAAGAAATAAAATTATTAAAGGACCCATTTACTCGCCCGTTCCTACTCAACTAGGATTATGTATTGTGTTTTTTGTTTTACCTTTTTTTTTAAAGGTTTATTGTTGTTGATTTCAAATTTTTATTTTGTTTTTCTTTTTTTCTAATATTCACCGCAAGTAATACGAGTAATATAATATTAAAATACACTTGCTATATATTTTTTGTTTTTGAAAGTTTTAAATAAAAGTGTTGACTTTATTAAGATTAAAAATGTAGTAAAATTTTATTATATGCTGTGCATTTATTTAAATTTATTGCGATTTGTAAATGAGATATAATAAAAAGGTACTTGAATAAAATTTCACCACCCCTACCTCATTTTATCAATAAATTTCAATCAACATACTCGTATACTAAATAAAAATCAGAAATTTGTAGGGTCAATATAATTATTTTATATTTACTCCTAGATATATAGATTTGTATAGATTTGGGAACTTTATTATTTCTCGGCAATCGCTATTTTTTGATCGATACACTTAATCCACTGTAAAATTTCCATTTAGAAATTTTTTAACATAAAAGCGCCATCTAGATTCAAAATATCAATAAAATACAGTTAATTTTGTATGGTACTTTGTACTCAACAACCCTATTTTACAAATTAGCCATAAAAAAAATATTTACAAAAAAAAAAAAATAGTCTACACGACACGCGAAATTTTTTTTTTATATAGTTAAATTATTTTTTTTCTTTTTTTTTTTTATTTGCACTATATTTTACTCAAGTTTTTTTTTTTTTTTCAAATTTTCTTGTCATTAAATTACTTTACTATTAAATTGGCCACCTTTTTATACTGTTGATGTGTGCAATAATATTCAACCATTCGTCAAGGCTGACCGACTTGGTAATTGCAAAAGATTGCATACACTTTGCATGTCCTCTGTGTTCAATTATTCTGCTAATTGCGCAAAAAAAAGAAAAAGGAATAAATAAAAATTTATAAAAAAAAAAATTAACATACAAAAAAATTGAAAGCAAAAAAAAATTTATAAAATAAATTAGAAAATGGAAAAATGAAAATTGTTCACGTCAATTTGCAATAATTGTTAGGTTTTTAGTTTCCGATTACAGTATGCTTTATTAATGAAATATTTAAAATATTATGACAATTTTTATGTAACAAGTGAAATTTTTTGCTAAAATTAAGAATAAGGTAATTTTATGCGAAAAATGCGTTTACACAAGTTATTTTGAAATTTGAATAAGTCAAATATTTTTTATAAATATTTCATTAACTTGCACATATTGACAATTAAAATTTTATTATACTTCATAAAATGCGAATCTATCGAATTGGTATTTCGTCAAAAAGTCGTAACTTCGACAGCAGATTAATTGATTTTATTTGTCGCAAAATTTCCAATTTTTTGCATTAAAACTACAACGCTCTACGCCTACAACATTAATAATTTGATAATTAATGCCAACATGTTATGCTTTCACTTCTCTATGGTATTGTGTTCAACTCTCATTTTATATAATAAATTGACAGCTAATTTATTTCAAGTTAAGTAACTTAAATAACGTCTTAATTTAAAATATTGGAATTTATTAGACGTATAACATTCATTTTGAAAAATAAAAAATTTAAATGAACGAGTAATATTAAATTTGATAAATTGATTAAAATTGTGCATTAAATTCTATAATAAACCAAAGTAAGTCAAAAATTATATATTTTTATTATTTTTATGCTTATATATATATATATGAATTTATTGTAGTGTATACACCTTATAAACTTATTCTTTTGGAACGTTAAAGTAATTTGGCGACACATTTTTCATTTTATTCTAATACATAATTAATTAAATCAAAGCACTTTAGAAAAAATTTATAAGTCATGCACAAATTGAAGCAATTCAATATCCATTATTAATGAATTCATATTATTTTTTTATGTATACATATATACTTACATACCTCAACTATAAATGCAAGCAAGGATAATTGAAATAGCATAAGAATTTAGTAGCGCTGATTGGAAATAATTCCATTAAATTTGCAAATAGATATTTTAAGTAGCAGTCTGAATTTTATTAATATTGCATGAAATATTTTATTCTATAGATTTAAATTCATTGCACCATTTTTTCTTACCCAAAAAACAAGCAAAGTAGAAAATCAATTTGATTTGCGTTTACAAATGAAATTTCAAACTGAAAATATGACAACACTTTGAAAATTTTTCATTTACATTAAAATTTTATTTTTTAGGATTTATGAAATTAATTTTTCAAATTATATAATCCTTATTCTTCATCTATTGTACTCAGATCAGAAATGCTCAATTCACTATTGTTATCATCATCTTCTATTTCAAAATTTTCATTCTCTTTCAATAATAATTCTGTTTCCAAATTTTCTAATAAATCATTATTCTGCTTAATTTTGACACTAGCAAATTTTTTTACATATTCAATAACTTCTTTACGAAAATCATCAATATTTTGAAGACACATTACTGCTGCTCTTTTATTTAATGGATCAATTGGATTCGGATATGTTAAAAGTTGTGGTAAAAATATTTCAAAAATATTAAATAAATCATATAATGGTGTCCAAGATTGATTAATAACATCTAAACAAACAGTACCAGATGTTTCATCAATATTTGGATGAAAAATTTTATTAATAAAACCAATACTCGGTGATTTAAATGGATAATTTTCTGGTAAAAAAACTCTTATTCTCCATAAACCACCTTCATATAAACTTCCTTTTGGTCCATAAAATTTTACCATAAATTCATTTATATCATTTATAAATGTTACATCATATCCATTTTCAATTAATTTCATAATATCTTTATCCATACGTTTTTGATTCGATAGAGACATTTTTCATTTATTAAAATTTTTAATAAAATTTTTAATTCCTAAAAGATTTTTTAATTAAAATAAAAAAATTTAAAACTGACAATCTTATCAAGGATATTTTTGAGTAAAAAAAAAAATTAATGAAAATGTATTAAGAATTTTCACAGAATTTAAACATTGAATTTCCAATATTTCCGATAGAATATATTCAAGCCCCATTGAATAGTAATCAATACCCACTAATTTTTGCTTTTCACTTTTAAATATTGAAATTTTTTAACTTTAAAAATTATTTGATTTTGAAAATTACAAAAATGGTATGCAACTAAAATTTTAGAGCTTTCATTTTCAAATCATATTTAATTTCGGGTCTATCTTAATCTAAATTAATAAAATATAAAAAATTTAAATTGACTTTAAGCCCAAATAAATATCTTGAAATATTTAAAGTTGTCAACATTTATTTCATATGTGTACGAACAGCCGCACTCAAAACTGGTCGTTATTCAAAAAGAGTTAGGGAATTTTCTACAGTTTCAATATGCGATTAAAATTCTAGCTTGAATCGTGTTCTTGCACAATTACAGATCTTAAAGAACTAAAAATTTTACTTTCGCAGACTTGTAATATCCTAAAATTAATTATTTGTTGTTATTTAACCATTTAAATGTTACAAAATTATATACAATTTGTGTAAATGTAACCAATAGCAACAAGATTTTTTAAAACTTTAAATATTTTAACAATATTTAAAACGAAATTTTAGAACTTTAAGCATACTGCGATTTTAGAAACTCTTTCTTGTGTAGACTTCTTGTAAACCAGAAATTTATCGAACCGGCTACAATTCCAGATTTTGTTTTTTTGTTTTTAGTTATAAAAATCCTCAATTAAAAATCGCTTTGTTTTCAGTAGAAAATCTATATACTTCATGGGCTCGATTAACAGCAAAAACTATAAACATTTCTTTTAGAGCGCTTCCATATTAATCCTTAACTGTGTCCTTAACAATGCAGCTAAAAAAAGTTATAAAACCTTATAAAAAAGAAAAACACTAATATTTTTAGTATATAGACAGCTTTTTAATCGTAATTCATCGTAAATTTTTTTTTTTTAATTATAATTTTCTCTTAAATTCTATGAAAATCAAAAAAAAAAAATAATAATAATTTTTAAATTTTCTTACATTTTTATTTGAATTCCAAAAATTTTTGTATTTATGTGATGATTTTTTAGTGAATTTGTTTTTTTTTTTTTTTCTTGTAAATTTTCATATTGTGTTTTTAAAACTATTTGTTTTTTTTTTTTATATTGAAATTTAAACAAAAAAAAAAAACTTTTAACATGCGTAAAAAAACACTGAAAAACTCTTTAAAAAAAAAAATATTTTTTTGTATTTTTTTTTTTATTTATAAATTTTTTATTTTCTCTGTACTTAATTAATAAATTTTTTTTTTTTTCTGTTTTTATATTATTTTCTTTTTTTAAATGCAATTTTCTTTATTAATTTATTAAGACTTAATTCTTGCTTTATTTTTTATTTTTTCTATACAAATTGTGAAGCAAAAAAAAAAAAATAATATTTAAACTTTGAAACAAAACTTATGAGGAAAAAAAAAAGTAACTATAAAGATTTTAAGAAATTTATAAAACAAAAAATCTATTTATTTATTTATTTTATTATAAAAAAAAAAATTACATTACACATAATAATTGTAAATTTTAAAATTATGTGCACTTAAAGGGCATTTATACATTTTATTACAAATTATAAAATCTCAAGAATACAGACCAAGGAGTATCTTAAAATAAAATTAAAAAATATCTGAAACTATTTTGAATATTAAATGAAAAATCCTAAATTCTTATTTTATTATAAAAATTTCAAATATTAATCAGAATTATTATATTATTAAAATAAAAAAAAATAAAACAAAATGGATACAGCATTCACAATATTATGTCAAATTTGCATTAACAAATGCAATAAAAAATTAAAATTTAATTACATCAATTAAATAAATTAAATAAATATTTAAAAATTTAATTCAATGTTAAATACAAAAATATTGTAATTTTATAAAATTTAAAAATTCATTTAATTAAAATTAGATTAAAAAATTCATAATATTCGAATTCATTTATTAAAATATTCAATTAATTTAAAAAAACAAAATTATTTTAATATTTGCTTTATATAAATGCGCCCTTTTATTACACATAATATTCAAATTTATATAAAATCAATATTCAATAATATTAATTTTTATTATTTAAAATGAAAAAAATAAAAAAATCAATATTATAATATAGAAAATTTTTTAATTTTTGCATTCTTATTTTAATATTAATATACTTAAAAGCTATTAACATATCTACTTTCTCTTAAAATACAAATAATAATAATATTAAAAAATTAAAAAAAAAAAAAATAAATTTTCTGAAATCCAACAACTTTGTAATTATATTTTTTTTTTTTGTTTCTTTTTTATTTTGTATTTTGTAAAGTTTTCTTAAATTTTTTTTTAACAGAAATATAAAATTAATATTCTCTTCTGTGTGTTTTTTTTCTTTTCTTCTATTTTTAAAAACATTAAAATTATTAAATAAGTGAAAATTAAAAATAAAGAAAATTGAAATCTTTTATAAAAAAAAAATAATAATAATAAAAAAAAGAACATATTTTAAATAAAAAGAAATTACAAATGAAAAATCAACAAAGAAATAAAAATAAAATAAAATAAAAATGGAATGTTAGACATAATTAGAGAGAAGCAATTAAATAAAAAACAATATTTTTTAATATTATCTTTTAAAAAATTAAAAATAAACAAATAAAGCTGAATTACATTAAAAAAAAAAAAAAACGCATATACATTTAATATATTTATGTTATTAAAATAAATAAATTTTAATTTTATTTAAATATTTAAAAAGAAAATCATTTAAACAAAATTAATAAAAATATAATATGTATTTTTATATTATTAATATGAGAATATATTAAACAATTAAAAAGAAAATTATTTATTTTTTCTTTTGTTTATTTTTTTATATAAACTGGGAACGATTGATTAAATTCATTAGCATTAAATTTATTATTTATAACGCAAAATTTTAATTTAATAAAATATAAAAATTGTTTTTCCTTTTTGTTTTTTTTTTTTTTTGGTTTATAAATTTATTATGAAAATTTTTTACTTATTTCTTTATTTGCAGTATAATATTTTCCAATAATTATTAATTAATTGTCATAAGAAATTTATTTTTAATTGGATATTAAAAGTAGAATATTTAAAAAAAAACAAAAAAAATAATAATAAAATTAAAAAAGTTTTGAAATTTTATTATAAAACATTTCTTCATTGCATTCGAATACAATTATTATAACAATGGTAGATGATTTTAATTATGATCTTCAAAAAAAAAAATATATATATATAAAATAAAATAGTTTTATAATAACAAAAATTTTATTTTAAATTTTTTCAAATCTATTTTATTTTATATAAGAAATTTTGTATGAAATACAAAAATTTCAATAATGAATAAATATTAAATTGTAAATTGTATTTTTTTTTTATTTTGTTCTTTTTCTATTTAAAAAATTTTATTCATAAGGATTTCAATAAGAGTGTATTTTAAAATAGAAAGCTATTTTTAATAAATAGATTTTATTTTTTAAATTGTATTAATTTTTTTATAATTTTTATCAATTTATTTTTAAATATAATTTGAAAAAATTTATTATTGAAATTTGTTTTTTTTCTTGTTTAGTTTTTGAGATTTTGTTAAACTGGGAAGCCTACAATTTCATTATATTTTTATATTATTAATTGATATTTGATGTAATTATATAAAATGATTTAATGATTTATTTATTGATCTATTAATTCAATCATATAGTTTAAATTCAATTCAGGGTTAAAAATGAATTTAATTGTTAAACATAAATTTATTAATTTTAAATAATTAATTCATTAATTTGAATTTTACTATACGGTATCATTGTATTTAAGAACTAAAAATAAGTTATGTATGTAAATTTTAAAAACAATTAAATATCCATATTGCAGTGTTAGTATTAGCATTCAAGAAAGCATTTAGCATTCCAAAGATATTGCTAAGCGGTATATGCTTTATATTACTGCAATTTGAATATCAGAATTCTATAATGAATTAAATAATAATTTGGAATTGAAATAGTATTTATTCTTAATAATATTCACAAAATGAATTTTGTATATTTTAGCTAATTTAATATTTGTTTTAATTTTCTTAATTTTCTTATATTTATAAAAAATTTAATTTATCTTCTCATTTTTTTTTTTTTCTTCATCAGTATATATAGAAAATTTGTATTTGTTTTTTTTTTTATTAAATATTAAATTAGTACTTATTTATTTTTTTTTTGTTGTAATTTCATTTATTTTAAGGCAAATATTAATATTTTAATAAATCGTATTTAAAAAAGATTTTAAGAAAAAATTTTTTAGTCCTGAATTTTGTGTTTGTTTTTTTTTTTTTGTTGTTTCCATTTCTTCTTATATTTGTTTATATAAATATAAGAAGAATAGAATTAGTTTTAATATTTAGGAATAAATTTATTATTATTGTAAGCTTATTTATAGTTTTAAATATTGCAAAAAGAATTTGTTTGTTTTCTTTTTTCTTTCATTTCATTTTAGTTTATTAAATTACTAATTTTAATCAGTAGGTTGTTCTTTAAATAGTTTTCTTTGAAATCTATATAATTTTCGTTAAAAATGTACGTATTTAAAATTTTGTAAAAAATTTTTTAAAAATTGTGAATTTTTAAATATTTTTTTTTTATTTTGTTTTTTAAAAAGTTAGTAGATCAAAATTTTTTAATTATTTCAAGGAATTGGTATTTATTTTTTAAAAATTTTTTGTGTATAATTATTTCCGAAAAAAACTTACTGAAATCTTACAATAATTATAAATCTAATTAAAGATTTTAACACAGATTTTTCTTTTTTAAATTATTAATAGTGTTGACTATATTCAAAAAATTTTATGTAGTAAAAAATCCAAATTCAAATATCCATTTAATTCTTCTTGTAATCTCGGCTTCCTTTTCATTTATATTTTTATTAGGAATAACAATACAAAATGTTGAATAAATTTTTTAACGAGTTGATTTTCAATATTTCCCATCATTACAATCATCTTCTTGGTTTTTCAGTATGTTCATCAGTTCCATCATTAGTGTGTTTCTAAACTGTACTCAAATTTATTTTGCTTAAATATTTCGAATGTTAAATATAGAATTTCATTTAAAATGTTTTAACAATATAGTAGTATTAATGTAGGTCGCAAATATATATATATTTTTTTTTTCATTTTATTTAGTTGTTTTCTGCAGCTTATTTTTATTAAAAAAAAAAAAAAAAAATACATTTAACACTTACAAATATTATTTTCTTTTTTTTTTTTTTTATTTGTTTAATACATTTTATAATGTACTTATGAATGTATTAATTATGTAAACATTAATTTTTTCTTCATTTGTTTTAAATAGAATATTTTTTTTTTCATTAATATATTTTCAATGTTTTCAATTTTAAATTCATTATTTCAATATTTTTTAAATATTATATAAGTAAAATTAATTTGCATTTTTTCTTTTTTTTTTCTTTAGTTTTGTAATTTTTAATATTTTCTGTTACATGAACAAATTTTTGGGGCACATTTTTTTGTTTTCTTGTAAAATTAAATAAAATTTTTCTTAATATTTAAACGTTTTACATTTTGTATATGAATGTAATTTTAAATTGAATTTTATTATTTAATTTAATTTTTAATTTTATTTGCATTATACGGTAATTAAAAAAGTATATATATATATTTTTTATTAATTTTTATAGATTTTTTTTCAAGCTTTTTTTTTTTTAATATAATATTTAATTATTTATCATTTTTAAAGTTTTCTCATTACATTTGTTTATATTTTATGTATATATATATATATATTTAAATTAAATAACATTTACATTTAATTTTAATTCTTTTTTTTTTGTGTTATAATTATTTTCAGCTTATATTATGTAATTTTATTTATAATATTTTTGTTTTTTTTTTTTTTACATAAGTAGATAATATTTACTGATTATTTTAATATTTAATATACGCAATACAATAAAATATAAAACTTTCAAAGTTAGTATACAAAATTTCGAAAAAAAAAAATTCGAAAACTTAATGAAAAAATAAAGAAAAATTTGTAGGAATAGAAAAGTAAACAAAAAAACAATTCGTCAATTAAATAAAATATATAAAAAGATAGTAAAAAAAATAAAAAATAAACAAAATACAACTTAGAAAAATAATAATAAAACGTTCTGCATTTCAATTAAAAATTAATTTATTGTGTTTGTTGTTGGATTTCAATTTTTTCGACGGTCATATCTGGATTCATAGCTGTGGCCTCCTAAAAAACCCAAAAAAAAAAAAAAATGATTTAATAAAATACATTTAAAAATTAATAGAAAATTTAAATTGTTATTTTATTACCTGAATTGCTTCAGCTAAAGCTTTGTCATGATCAATTGGATCACCATCTGATTGAATGGTAATTTTCTGTTCGACACGGGTTTCAACAATTCCGTCCCTTTCGGTTTTATACTAAAAATAAAAAATTAATTTTTTGATTTAAATTGTTATATTAAAATAATTAAAATATGTTAAATATGAAATTTAGTTTTGAGCTCAATTAATAATGTTTTAAAATGTGATTAAAAAAATATTTACTGTAATCGTTTCAACAGTTCTTGTTTTACTGCTAACTGTTTGAGATGAAACAATTTCACCAGTTGCACTATATTTTGGTGTTTCTTCACCTAAAATAACTCGTCGTTGTTCAACATGAGGCACTGCTGTGTCTGTCTGTAAACGATACCGGAACATTTTTTTTTTTGGTTTATTTTTGTTTTATATAAAAAAATTTAATAATAATCTTATTTAAATATTTTTTTTTTTCTATATTTCTTATTTGAAATTAAATGTGTATACATAAATGATATTATGTATTTAAAGAAAAAAAATTCTTCTTAAATAATACAAAAAATTATAGGGCTTTATTTGCTTGTTTCTTTGAAAATTTTTCAAATAGCAAACAATAAAATTATTTTTCCGTATATTATTAGCCTTATAAACTCAACTTAAAATAGCGACACATTTAAAATTAAAACTAAATCTCTTTTTGTTTGTTCAATTAATTTTTTAGAATTTTGGAACAAAAATAATATGTTAAACTACAAAAAAAAAAGTATAAACACAGATGTAACAAGGGAATTCTAGTATTATACAAAATTCATAATCAAATTTCATCAATCAAAATTTATCAATTCTTTAAATAAATTTTTCCATTTAATTATGATAATTTAAATTATGATAATTTCATAGCTCAAATTAATTTCTGAATTAATTTCTATTTAATTGAAAATTTTACTTTTGAAAACAGACCTTCTTAAATTAACATTCTATAAAACTTACAAAATAACTGCTTAAATCCAAAAAGCACTGTAAACGTAATTTATTTACCTTCGGTAGAAGAAGTAGATCCTAAAGGGAATGTTAGTAAAGCATAAATATGTACAAACTTCTTAATAATTATCAGATTTTCAAATAAATATCAGAGATTTTAAACGTGCTTCTTTATTTTATTAATAATATTTAATGAAATTAAATTAATTTTGACGAAAAATTAGAAATTACATGCTATTAACAAATATATTTTCTATTTCGGATCTCTTCGGAATTTAAAATGTCATGGATTTTGTCCGAGACTAAACAATGTATTTGACATTCCCATATATTAATGATAGTTTTGACATTTCGGAAATTTTAATTTAATTAGATTTATTAATTTATTTTTCTTGCTCAATTTTAGTAAGAACAATTCCAATAAAATTGAAATTAAAATTATCGAAAAATATTTTTGACAAGCAATTCAGTGCTAACAACATAACGAATATAACATCAAAATTATTTTATTGACGCCTTTAGAATGTGATGTAATTTAGACGCATTTCTGAATCCACTCTTTCTATAATAATAAAGTAACTTTCGTTGAAATGAAAAATTTGTTAAAATTTGCATAAATTTTGATTGATGATAATGATATAATGAATTTGAACAAAAAAAAATTAATTAAATAACATTCCATTTAAACGAACATAACAGGCTTTTCATTCCATTAATAATTTCACTAAAAAATAAACATTGACATATTAAAATTCATGTTATATAAATGTCATTTCAAAAAACATTCTTAAACGTCAGATTATTTTTCTAACATAAACAAACTATTTAAATAAAAATACTTATTAAATTCAATAAAAAAAAAAAATATGCCAAACTTTGTACTTTTGTTAAAATTTATTAAAAATTTTGCTTTTTCGACTAAATTTGCTATTCTTAGTGCATTTCTTGAATGAGTTCTTGATTGTTTGAATGAAATTTTTTTGAAAAGTGTTTTTTGTTCATTTCCGTTTTTTGTTATGTTTTCTGTTTACTTTTGAATACTCTTGAGTTCATTTACAAACCTGTTGATAAGTAATAATTGTTCCATCATATGGTCCATCAATTGGTGTACCTGAATCACCTGAACTAGTTGAAGATATGCTATCTCGCCTTTGGTACTAAAAAAACCAAAAAATTTTTCGAGCACAAAAAAAAAATAAATAAAAATAAAATTAAATGATAAGATAGAAACGAAAACTGAGAAAACCAAAATTTGATGATGATTTTTTTTTATTTTAGTTATTTTGAAAATTAGAATAGAAATTCGAAAAAAAAAAACATATAACATGCGAAAATGCAAACTTGCTTAAAACAGAAAGAAAACCATAAAGAAAAATGTTTCATGCGAATTAAAAATTAAAATTAAAATTTTAAAAACCAAAGGAAATTATGAAATGTTTTTTTTTTTTAATTAATCATCATCAATTTGTTTATCAAATGAATTTGTGAAGATTTTTCAAAAATGAAAAAAAAAAAAGAAAACAATTAACCTACCTGATCGCCGCCACTTGTTACAGTTGCTGTCGTTTTAACTTCTTGTGTAACAACACGTTGTTCCTGTTTTCTTGGATCTAATGGATCACGTGTACGTGTTGTTGCAACAGTTTTTTCTTCTAATTGTTCTGTTTTTGCTTTTTTACCTAAATCTTCATGTGTTGTTGCTGTTCTTGTTGTTACCGCTGTTGCTGTTATAAAAGCACCACTAGCTTTAGTATCATCACGAGCTGGATCGGCCTATGGTTTATTTTTTATCGAATTTTGATTTTGGTTTTATTGTATTATTTGTATGAATTTTTTTTTTTTTTGTTTGTTTTAAATGTATAATGTTTTTAAAAGTATTTTTTATAGAGGTTTTTTTTTAATGTTGATGAATTTTAGTATTTTAAAATGATTCAAAGTGAAGTGTTTCGAAAAATATAGCTTTAAAAAAATTTAAGTTCCTTAAATGAATCCAATTTATTTCATTTTATTTATTTATTGCTTATATAGAATTCATAAAAGGATACTTAAGTCATGCGCTAAAATTTAATCAAACTTGAAAATAATTTTTGTTGCATTATAATTAAATAATTTAAGGAGTGATTTTTCTATAATACTCAAAATTTAATATCTAATAACTTGTATTAATATTGTTTAAAACGCTTTTGTCATATTTCGAAAGTTTTACGAATTTGACAAATTACTGGATTTGAATAATCACACGAATTATTTTCGCAATCGTAAGGCTACTTTCGCATCGAAATTATTTTTAAGTATTGTCTAACATTAGCATAATTCAGCGATAATCGGACTTATAAATTGTCAACAAATTAACATGGATATTGAACCGCTATACAAATTCAGCAACCAAAATTCGTAAGCTGAATTGAGTAGTAGCAAAATATTACTGCAACCCCGATGCAGAGTAATTATACTTGATGCAAAATTTTATTTGCTTTAAAAAAACTTAAAATATTTTTACTTATTTTCTGGAATATAATAATTATTAATGATCTACAGATCTATTAGCACACGAAATAATTTACAGCTTCTATATTTTTTTTATAATAATACATAATTCAAAAAACGTTAACGAAACAAAATTTCTACTTTTTCATCTAATGAAAATATTTGTGAAAACATATAATGTAAGTAACTGCAAATATTTTTTTACAATATTTACAAAAAATTTATTTCTTCAGAAATAAATAATTATTTTTGTTTTTTACTTATTCAATATTGAGGAAAAATTTCTTTAACTCAACATTACAGTTCTTAAATTAAATTCAGCAATTTATTGTCTGAGCTGAATTGCATTATTATCTGAGCTGAGCATTATGGAACTTAAGGTATACACTGAGTTTCATCTAATTTATTTAAAAATATACAATTTAATTCTCAAAATTTATATGAAATTTATAAAACAAAAATTATTTTTGTGCATTGACTATTTTTTTGTTTTTGTGTGTGAGTTGTTGAATAAAAATTAATGATATTTTATAAAGTGTTAAATTAAATTAAAAAATTTTGGCTTTGCAAGCAATAAAATTTAAAGAATATCAATATGCAGTTTAAAAAAGAATAATAATTGACTTACTTTTTTCTTTGTAGAATTTAAGATATTTAAAGGCTTAGCGCTTGTTTTATACAACTTAGTTAAAGAATCAACTTAAAAATAGGTACATTCAAAAAAAAAAAAAATTTGTTGCTTAAAAAACTAATTATAGGTGATAGTAAGAATAAACCTACAGATTATTGGGCAAAAATAATAATAAAAATAACTAAAATTTTTGAAAATGAAGTAATTTGAAATGAAAAATTTAAAATGAAAATTTTTAAAATAAATTTTAAATGCCAATTTCAAATATTTGGAGGGGATTTTTTACTCAAAATGAAATTTTGTGTACATATTTTAATTTCAAATTGTGTCTCAAAAAATAATTTTCATTAATTATACCTGAAAATTCATTAAAAATAATCAAAAATTTTCGAATAATATTCGTACTTTCACTTAATTTTAAATTTTTTTTTATAACAGCGTCAAACTACACTCTGAAAAATTATTACTCTTTTTTAATTAGAATTACAATATTTTGTATAATACAGTATACAAATTTAATTAAAATCACTTTTATCTTCAAGTTTTGACCATTCATTTCATGGTTTACAATTAATTTATTTAAATTTAATATTAATAATTAATCACTTTCGATTTGTATTTGAAATTGCATTTTATGGCGACAGCTCAATAGCTCAATAATTTTGCAATCAATGTCATGTATGATGCAATGCAGTAAATTAAGAAAACTAAATATTTAAACAAAACAAGCTTTTCTAAATATTCAACCTTAGAATTAAGAGTTAAAATTTTTATAATAGTATATTATAGACCCTACATAAATATTATCCTTATTATTATGCTTGAATACAAAAGAATTCTAATAACAAAATATTATAAATATAAATCGAAAAGCCTTCCTAATAAAAAAAAAAAAATAGATTATTGATAACATTTAAAGCCAACAATAACAAATAAATCACAACAACTTTTTTACAACATTTTTGTTTTAAACACTTGTGTTTTTTTTTCTTTTGTTAGTTTTTCTTAATAATTAATTCTAACCTTGTGCTCTTGTGTTGAGATTGTAACTTCACCAGTTCCTAAATTTCTGACTTCTTCTTCAACATTATGAGTGACACCGTCTTCATTCTTTGTTAAAATTTGTTTTGTTGTAGTTTTAACAACAGTTGGTGTACCAGCAAATTTATTAACAATTGAACTTGGTGTTGTTGTTGTTGTTTGTTTACCGTATGCTTTTGGTGTACCAGACTGCATTTCTTTAATATTTTCTGTACCATATTGTGCTGTCATATCATCATCTGAACTACCTTCAGAATCTCGTCTTAATGCATTTTTACCCATATGTTTAATACCCTCAAAGAATTGATCACGTGTTATTGGTACAGTTTCTTTTGTAACAGTTACTTCTTTACCAAAATGACTTGGATCAATTTGAGCATAATTTAATATTAATTTTCCAGTTACAGGATCTTTAACAGCTGTTTCTGGATCAATATCACCAGTATTGGGATCAATATGACCATATTCAGTTTTAATACGTCCTGTCACTGGATCAATTTCACCACTTAATGTCATCGTTTGAGTAACAGTTGTACGTGCACCAGCAATTCTTGGATCATTAGGATCAACCTGTATAATTTCACCAGTTATTGGATCAACCATATTATATACATAAACAGTTTTATTAAATATTTTATTAATACGACCCGTTATCGGATCAATATCGCATGTTTGTGGATCAATTTCTTGAGGTCGGCCACGTTCATCAGTTTTTGTAACTAAGAATATTTTTACTAAAATTATTCTACCAGTTTTTGGATCAACTTTACCAACTTTTGTATAAATTTCACCACTATCGGGATCAACTTGAGTTGTTGCATATAAGGGTTCACCGGTATTGGGGTCTACATCACCAGTTGCTGTATATACTTTACCACTATCTGGTTCAACGCGTATTAGATTCGGATCTACTTTAATTTGTTTTTTAATTTCGTTAGTTTTTGGATCCAAATAACCATAAATCGTAATAACATAGCCAGTTTTTGGATCAACAGCACTCGACGTATATAAGTTTTCTTTTGAATTTGGATCCTTGGTACCCGTAGCAATCCATATTTGGTTTGTTTTTGGATCAACAATAATATCTTTATCTTCTTTGGGCTTTTCGACAGGTTTATTCGTTTTAGGGTCAACACGATTTTGAACAATTCGTAGAGAAACAATTCTTCCATAATCTTTATCTGGTTTATTATTTTTAGGATTAATTTGATTTTTCAAAACAATTTGACCCGTGGATGGATCAATTTTAACATCTTTAACAGTTGATTTACCAGTTTTAGGATCAATAAATGTAATTGTGTGTTTAACCAAATCTATTTGACCATATTTTGTATCAACTTTTCCGCTCTTGGGTTCAAATTGACCAATTGAAGTTTCTACTTGAGCTGTTTTTGGTTCAATAACACCTTTTTTGCTATCTAATTTACCAGAAATGGTAGCAACTTCAACAACTGGATCAATTTGTTGCCCAACTTCAACCAACCGACCCATAGATGGATCAAGTTTTCCAGATTTAGGATCTGTGACCCCGGAAATTACTATCTGGCCGGTAGTTGGATCTACAGAAGCATTCTTCATCGTTACTAGTTTATTTGTTTTGGGATCAATAGTTTTAACTTCACCTGTCTTAGGATTTATTTCACCATATTTAGTGTCAATTATTCCGGTTTCCAAATCTAAAACACCTAAAGAACGTTCAACTTCGCCGTTAACAATGTCAACTTTCTTGGTATTTGGATCAATTCGACTCGTAATAACTGTTAGCTCAACTATTGGATTATCTTGAGGAGCGATTGCAATCACTTGACCCAAATAATCATCAATAATACCAGTTTGTGGTGATGCTACACCTTCAGTTAAATGAATATTTCCAGTTTTAGGGTCAAGAACACCTTTATATAATTGTTTTTGACCTGTTGATGTATTTAATGCTTCCAATGTTCCTCTCTTAGGATCCACAACACCATATTTTGTTTCAATCAAACCTGTTTCCGGATCCAAAATACCAGTTGAATGTTCAACTGTACCATTTTCTGTATCAACTCTTTTCGTTTGTGGATCAAATCTAGAAATAATCACCATAATTTTAACACGCTTCTTTTTAGGTTTAGATGCTGCAGCTGCTGCTAAAGGAGGTTTAACAGCACCAGCAACAACTGGTTTAACGTCTGGTGGTAGAACACCACCACGTTCTGCATTAAGGAATGCAGTGGAAGCATCATCAATTGGTTTATATGTTCCTGGAGCACCGGACATATAACCTTGTCTTCCACTATTTGGATTATATGATTGACCGTGAACATCTTTTAATGGTGTAGCATTTTCTGGTAATTGTGAAACTGGTGTCATTAATTTCTGTTTTGTTCTAGGTGATAAATTGCCATCTTTAAGTAGTCTTTCACGTGTTTTTGGTGAAAGTTGACCTTTATCTAATTTTTCTTTTGTTCTAGGTGATAATTGACCATGCTTCAATTTATCAGCTTGTTCTTTAAGACGATCATCATCACCTGGTGCATAATTGAATGCCAGTCCAATACGTTTACGTGAATTTGGACTTAATTGTTGATCTTCAGCATTATCTTGATTTTGTGAATTTCTAGCACTTGGATCTTCATCATAACGGAATCCACCAGAAATATATTTTTTACGTGTTGGACTTAAATCTTGTTCGGTTTCATTATATTCATATGGTCGTGTATGACCAGCTTTTTCATTACCACCAATAAATGTTTTATCTTTATCTGATTTACGTATTTCAACATCTGGTATTTCTGGTACAGTAACTGCAATCGCAATCTTTTGTTTTTTATCTTTATCTTTCTTTTCTTTATCTTTTTGTTCTTTTTCTTTACGTTCTTTCTCTTTTCGTTCTTTTTCTTCACGTTCTTTTTCTTTTCTTTCTCGTTCCTTACGTTCTTTCTCTTCTTTTTCTCGTCGTTCTTTTTCTTCTTTTTCTTTTTTATCTTTTGGTGATTTTCGACCAGAAGAGAAGATACCACCCTTCAATTTTTAATTCATATGTTGATGTTTGTTTTTGTTTTTTTTTTTTTTTTTGAAGTAAAAGAAAATAATTTTGAAAATAAAAAAAAAGAAACAAAATAAAATAAAAAAATTAAAAAATTAAAAATTAATTTTAAATAATATGAATTTAAAATAAAAAAAAATATGTTTATGTTAATCAAGCATTATAAAAGAACATAATAACGGTAAATAGAGATGAAATAAATAAACAAGAATGAAATCAAGAAAATGACACAAAAGTGAAATTATGTGAATTGAAATAAAAAACCAAAACAAGTGATCATCATTAATGTAAAAATATTATTTTATGCATGATTTATGAATTAAAAACAGGTATTTTAAATTAAAATTCGTTAAAAATATTTGATTAAAATAAGGAAACAGTGAAATGGAATTATGCATTTTGAATTTAATATTAAAATTAATTAAATGTAATGGAATTTAACACCAATTATTAATTAGAAATCAAACATAACAAAATTAAAATAAAAATTAAAATTAATCAAATTAATAAATTAAAAACCCACCGATATAAAAACAAAAAAGTAAAATAAATAAGTAAAAATACTCAATTAGTATTAATATTTTAATAATTTTTTAATTTCATATAGAGGGTGGCAACTTAATTTATAACAGTGTTGACAGTGATAGTGGTGTTAATCATCTATTATATTATTATTTTTTTTATTCTTAATTAAAGGCAGTTTTATTGATTTATTTTTAATTTGTGCAAAATTATTCCAAAAACTTCCAACCGGTTTTAATAATGACTTAGTCTAGATTACTTAAAAGGGATGGTGCATGTGTTTTCTTAATTATTCTCAATACATTTTTAGTTTTAATTTAAAAAACACCTTGAGTTATTAAAACTTTTTTTTTTTAATATTATTTTAAAAATATATGTAGTAAAAATTAAAAAAAAAAACAACGGCTTCTTTTACGTTGTGAATTGTTATCGGTTTAATAATATTAATTATATTAAATAAATATATTTATTATTATTGATTGTTAAAATTTTCGAAACGGAAATGATTTCTAAATGAAAAACATAATATTTCCGTAATCGAAAACTTTGGTTTAATTTTTTTTTTAGTTATAAAATCCATAATAAAAAGTTATATAGAGTGTGTGACAATATTAGCTTAATAACAAATTTTTAAGAAAGAACAAGTTTAAAATAAAATATTATTAATATATAAATGACTTACTCTGCCAAATCCTTTTCCTGGAGATTTTTCATCAGATTTACCAGAATCATTCGGATCAGTTTCATTACCTTAAATTAAATAACAATAAAATTTTAAATATTTTTGATATTTTTTTTTTTTAAATTTAATAAATAAATTGAAAGATTATGAGAAGCTTAAGCATAAATTTTGACAAACACTAAATGCAAATAAGTCAACTTGTTACAAAATTTGTATTTTACTAGACCATCATGTTTTTTTTTTTTCATAAAATATTTTTAAAATCTCACCATTAACAGCTCCAGCAAGAATTTTTTCAGGTTTCTCTTTTTCTTTTTTCTCCTTGTCCTTCTTTTCTTTTTCCTTTTTAGATTTTTCAGTCGGTAGGACTGATACCGCTCCAGAAGGAACCTAAAAAATTTTCCAGAAATATTTTTTTTTAATATAATATTCAATATTTTTTCGTTTTTTTTTAATTTTCATATAATTTATTTACAATTAAATTAAATTAATTTAATTTTTGTTAAAAGCTAAAATTAAAGCATGCAATATTAATAAAGCTATAAATCAAATATTTAATAAGTTCTTTTTCTTTTTACAAGAAATGGATTTAGAGCAAAATTAATTAAAAAAAATAATAATAATTTTTTATATTTAGAAATAAAAATGAAAATATAATTACAAACATAAAGAATTTTATATATATATACATGACTGGATTTGTGAATTTGTGTGTATTTGTGTTAAGGTTTTCAGGTTTTCTTATTTATTTTTTAATTTTAATATTTTAAGTTCAGATTTTATAGCCAAATATGTAAAAAATATTGATTAAAGCAATTTTGAAATTATTCTAATGATTAATGTTAATTTGGAAAAAATTTTTTGATTTATATTAATTAATTTAAACTAACTTTATTTTAATGTTTTTAAAAATATTTCAAAATTACTTTAAATTAAGTGATTTTTTGACAAATTTTGTGATTTATTTTTTGATAAAATTCTTAAAATTTTGATGAATTTTTTACAAATATTTTTTTTTTTGCAGATCAACTTGTTTATTCGTGGGAGAAATTTTTGTTTTTCTTTTTAATTTTTTTATATTTAGTTTTTTTTTCTTTCAATTTAATTTAATTGCAGTTTGCCAATTTAAAAAAAAAATAAATAATTATGAAATTTATATAAAAAAAAATTAAAAAACACAAATCTCAGTATATTTCTTTTATATTTTTATTTTAAAAAGAAAAACAAAAAAAAAATAATTAAAATAAATTAAATCTTAAACAAATACTTATTAATTATATCGAAACTAATTAGAATTATAATGTTCTATATTGAATTTAAATGAAATTCTATGCGACGTTTATACAGCAGATCTAACATAAGTTTTCGTTACTCAACAATTTTTAATTGCTGAGCCCTAATGCACCCACCATTACGATCAATTAATTAAAATAGTTGCAAAAGTTTTGTTGCGCCAATGGTCAAAACATTGTATTAACAAAAAAATTACTTAGTTTTTAAAGCCGAAATCAAGAGTAAAAATGCAATACGGGCCAGCAATTAAAAATTACTGAGTAACTCAAATTTATGTTAGATGTGCATTGAGATATAAAGCTATAAGTTTTCTGTATCGAATATAAATATAAAGCTATTAATGAAATTAAAATAATTACAACGAAAATTATTCATAAAATTAATAGATTTTGTTTTAATTATTAGAGTTATATTTTATAGAAGATAAAAGAAATATCAATTTTTCTATAAAACTTCAAATTTAAAATAAGAGCCTTAGAAAATCAGTTTCAGTCAGCAATATAATTTTAGTAGCTGAATAAAATTTATTGCAAACTAAAAATTGGCTAATTTAAATTTAATTAGATTTTGTTATAAATTTATAAGTTTATAGCTCAACAACAATAAAAGCTGATTTTCAAATAAAAAATATTTCTTAAAACAAATCATGCCATCGGAAAAAAAATAATATCACAATTTAGAAATTAGTTCTTAAGATTTGATAATATGAATTGTGTAATTATTAAAATTTATTAATTATTGTAATTCCGATGTCATGGAAATTTTTGAAAAAGTTAAACAACATTTAGCATTTTTATAGAACTTTTGTAATTCTAATTGGAACGATCTTTTCGCTGCACTTACAATATTATATTAAAATATACAACAACTAATATTACACAAGATTTACAAGAAACAAAAAAAAATAATAAGTAAAAATTATAAATATAATTTGAAATAAATAGAAAATTAGAAAAATGTATATGATTTTTTTTGATATATAATTTTTATAATTAAGAGACATACAACAAAGAGCATTAAAAAAAAGCAATTATATAAAATTACTTTATTTAAAAAAAAATGGAAATTAAATAAATGAATAAAATTTACAAATACACAAACTTTTAAAGTATTATAAGGGAAGAAGGAATAGTAGTGTGCAATAAATGAAAATAAAATCATTTATAATTGTTTAGTGATTTTCTTTTATTATATTAATTATTTAAATTAAATAAGAGTAATAATGATTATTATTATTATAAGTATTTGTTTTTGATACAATTATCATAAACGGGTCTACCAAAATACGGACCTAATGTCAATTTGACTTATTTAATAATTGAAATTATATTGCTGAATGAATTAAATTGACGTTAGATCTGCATTTTGGTAGATTGAAGGCGAAAATTAGTTTTGCTTTTGTGATTTTATCATTGTGTATAATACATTAATTTGTTTTTTTTGAACTGTGAAATATATGAAAATCTTCTACAACTAAATAATTATATACAAAACATATTTGGAAAATTTGGAAATGAGTATAGTTTTGTTATTCAATTCCAGTTTTTTGTTATAAAACCTTTCAATTATTATATATTATCTCTTTAAATTAAATCAATTCTAATATATTTATTGTAACTAATAATAACAAAATGTGAATGGATTAAATTGTATTATACATTAGAATTTAAAATGTCATACTATGACCACAAGCATATTTTATTGTCTGAACGTAAGTCTTGTTAAATGTGAGATGATGAGTTCAACAAACAACTTAAATAATCAATATCAAATAGATAACTTCAATGAAAGCATAAATATTTTATGATAAATTTCAATTATTTATAAAAAGTTAAATTTAATAGATAGTTTCAATTAAAAAGAAAAATGATAATATGAATATTTTAAATGTTATTAAAATATCGCAGTATCGAAATATAAACTTCAAAACAAATAAGTGCTGCCATTTATTTATTTTTTGAATTTAGCTCAATAATTCTCATATCAAATATTATTAATGTAATTTTTGAAATGTGTATTTTTTAAGTAAATTGCATATTACAAGCTATTTATAATTATTTTAGTTTTAAGAAAATATATTTTTGTATATTGCACACTCTACGTGATCTTAATTAATTTAATATCAAAATATAAAAATGAAAAAAAAAATAAATCAATTAAAAACGAAAAAAAAAAATTTTTATTTTTTTGTTTTAAATGAAAATATGCAAATATTTATATATAGATGGGATTTTTTTTTTAATTTTAAAATATATCTATATATATTTTATATAAATGTTGATTGTTTTTTTAATTGCTCAATAATTAATAAAAAAATAAAAAAATGAAAAAAAAAAAATAGATTTTCATGTACACCTACATGTTCATCAACATGTTTCCCATGGGTATCATAATCGCCTTCAATTGAACTCTGTGATGAAGCTGAAGCTGTACCAGTGCTCGATTCTCGCTTCAGCTAAATTTAGTTTATATTTTAAATATGTTTTATATTTTAATTATGTTTTTAAGGAATTGTGTTTTTTTTTTGTTTATTTGGAAAAAAAAAACCAAAAAAAAAATATTAAGTAACAATTTCATGTACGATAGTTTTAATACATATTTTGTTGAATGAAATGAAAATAAAAACAAAAAAAAAAGAGAAAAAATAAAAAAAACAGTAGAAATTTTTATGTATATTAAAATATGTTAAATTAAAAACTTATTCATTTTGTAAAAAAAAAGGAAATAATGATTTTTTAATGGTATAGAAAGAAAACATAAAAAAATAATATTTATAGTATAAAAATAAGAGAATCTATTCATATATTTAAGATATCGTAAAAATATATTCCAAATTACTTTATTCAAATTAAGAAATTAAAAAAAGTATGTACCTTATTTTATGAAAATTAAAAATAAATAGGTATGTTTCATGAAAAATAACTACTTTATTTTAATAATTACTTAAATATTTTAAAATACATTGAATATTATGTAATTTTTTACGTAAATTGAAAATCAAATTGAAATTTTTTGAAAATTTTTTACAAAATAATCGTAAAATAAATTTTTTTTGAAAATGTAGTTCTAATATTAAGAGAGCTAAAGAAGTAACACTTATTGTTGATTGATTTATAATGTTTTAGAATGGATTTTCTTTAAGAATTTTCGGAGAAAAAAATTTTATAAATTAATAAGTCTAAATGTAAATCCAATATAATTTCAAATAATAATTTTAACTTTTAAAAATAGGTCGAAACAGAACTCTTTGATATGTTACAATATATTTTTACAGTATTGTACAAAAAAAAATAATATTTCCTTCTTCTTATTTAATGACTTTAAAACCAAAAAATATATTAATAGATTCTCTTAATTAATTTTAGTGTGTTAAATAATATTTATATAGTATGTATATGTATATAAAAATTTAGACAAATCACATTATAATATTAATTTATAAAATTATTATATATATATATAACTTAAAATTAAAAAATTTTTATTAAAATATTAATTACATGAAAAAAACAAAAAAAAAATTCTCAACATTTTGGCTTTAATTTTAACAAAGAATAGTAGATTAGTAGATTATTTTAATGCTCGAAAACGATAATGATTTTTGAGTTAATTATATGTAATGTTTTTCTTTTTCTTTCTTTTTTTTTCTATTTAATTAAAAAATATAATTATAATGTATAATATATAATTATAAATGTGTGTTAATGTATTTATGTATTAATTTATTGGAAACAAAATTTTCAATAATTTAATAATTTATGTAATAAATTAAATAAATTAACAATTTTCTTTGTTTGTTTTTGAAAAATTAATGATGGATTAATTTATATAAATTTAAATTATTTTATGATATCAGATGAATTTAATATCATAGATAAAAAAAATTTAAATAACTAAGATCTAAAAGAACTTTAATTAAAAATTATGTAACTTAAGCAGCAAAATTATTTTTTTTATAACAATTAATAATAAATTTGTTTTTTTTTTAAATATTTTCCTTCATTAATTTTTGTTTTATTAAAAAATCACTAATAATAATGTTAATTATATTCACCAAAAAAAAAAAACTTTAACAAAATATTAATAAACAAATTAAAACAAATTTTTTAAATATAACTAAAAAAAAAAATGAATTATACAGCCATACCAATATTTTTTATTCAGAACGCAATCAAATAAATATATTCTATTAAAACAAAAGTCGAAAAATTCAATTTTGAAATAATTTAAATTAAATTTAAAAAAAAAAAATATTGATATGGCAATAAAATTATTTAATTACACCTTTTAATAAATATTTTAAAGTATTAATTTTACACAATATTTCTAAAATTACTTTTTCTTTTTTATCCTTTTTGAGTGGGCTTCTACTACGTGGTGAATCCAAATCTGGTATATGTTCTGGTGGATTATTCATTGTATGACGTTTTTTGGCAGCTTCACGTTCTTTCTCTTGTTCTTGTAATGCCAATGCTAAAAATAATTTGTTTGTATTATAATAAAATACAATTTTAAAATTATTATAAATTAAATCTTCTTTTTTTTTTTTTCTTCAGACATACCATCCATACTTTTGCTAGCTAATTTTCGACCTGATAAACTTCTATCAAATGTTGGTGTTGGACGATCGACTGGATTTTTTCTTGCTTCATACATTGTTCTTCCGGAATAACGGAATTTTGAACCTAAACGCGGGAATAAAGTTGATTTATTCGTTGGTTCTGGTGTTTTTAAACGGAAAAATGTATGATGTTCAACGCATGATTTCCATAATTTTTTAGCAGCACGATGATTTGCTAATTTAAAACCAATTGTTGATTCATATTGTTCAAATTCACCAGGACGGATTTTAATATAAAAATGATGACGTTTATATGAAAGTTTTAATATTTTTGGCCATGCAAAACGATTAATTTTCATTCTAAAAAATATAAAATTAAATATTAATTATTTTTTTTTTTAATATATAAATGAACAAAATTAAACATACTTGTCACGATAAACAATTACACCGGACGCACATACACCTAACATAATATCAACACCTTCAGAATCTTTAGCTGGATGTAAATCAACACCATACATTGTTAATTTCTTAGCGTTTTCCAAATAATGTAATTCAGCTTCAGCAGGTGATTGTCCCCTAAAAAACAAAAAAAAAAAATAATAAGAAATACATTGCAATATAAGACAAATAATCCAGAAATTGATCACTTACTTGTGAGTTTTATGTAAATCAATAACTTTATCTAATAATTCTGATGTTTGTTCTGGAGCAATTTTAAAATCTCTTAGATAACGACGATCATTATGCTCTCTTATATCCCAATCACCCATTTCTGATTGTACTAAATATGAACCCAATAGGGCATATGTAACAAATGAACCTGGTAATCTACCTTCAAGTATATCATTACGTACTTGTAAACATAAATGATATCTAGTTATATCTTCTTGTAATTGTGATGGTTCTGGTGGATAAAATTTTACAGCAAATTGTAGCACCCATGGATCTGTTTTAAAGAATTTTGCTACTGGCCTCTCTAAATCTAACCAACAACGTGGATCATTTGGTGTTGAATATATTAAACCAAAATAATCTTTCTCTAATATATTTAAACCAGCACATATTGAATTTAAAAGATCACGTCCTTTAGCTTTTCTCTAAAAATTACAAAAAAAACAAAGAAAATAAATTAATAATTTTAAAAAGAAAATTTTTAAGTTCAAATTATTTACATCAATTGTTACATCCAATATTGAACCGTCTAATAATGTAACACGTGCTAATGCAGCTTTACCAGATGATGATGATGATGAAACCGATTTCTTTTTAGATGGTGTTTCAGTCACTGGTTGGTGACCAACGGATGTAGGAGATTTCGTTTCCGCTGGCATTTTGTATTATTTTTCCTTTTTCTTTTTTGTTATTTTGTAGTTTTTTCTTTTGTTATTAAAATAGAATTAAATTTGGTTAATCTGAAATGTAGAAAAAATAAATAAAGAAATAATATTAAAATTAATCACATTTTAATAAAAAATATGGATTTTTTTTTGTGTAAATTTTGTGAAAAGAAATTTATAATAATACAAATTATATTCTGTAGTAGCAAATTTAGACAAAATTTCTATTTTATGGAGAAAATTTCTAAATTATTTAATCGAATAAATTATACGAATTTAAATTAGACAGACAAAAAAAATATGACAATTTCTACTTTTCTTTATTATTATTATATATAAATAAAGAAAAGCAAAAAATTTTTTAAAAAATAGAAAAAACCCACTATCAATTTTAATTTAAATTTAATTAAGTAATTCATATTGTACACCACCTCGGTTAATATTGCTCAAGTGACAGTTAAATTGGTGGATTACCCACTTAAAGTGTAGAAATATTGTGTACTAAGTGTCGCAAAAATTGCATTTTAAAGAAAATTGTAGTTAGGGATGCGCTGCTAACGTAAAATTTAAAATACAATTTTTTGTTTTTTAAGTTTATTCTTAACTATTCTTTTTTCTTTTTCATGTCACACTAAACACAAATTTAAATGAAATATATAAAAGAGAAAATATTTGTATATTCTCTATTAAATTCTATTGTATAATAGAAATTTCTTAAATATTATAAAAGAAAACACAGATTACACTATCATTATATTTAAAATAGCGATTATAACAATGCCTTTTATGGCATACATAGATATTTAATATTAAATAATTTTTATATGAATTCAATTTGACACATTGACTGACACTATTTGCAACAATTATTTTTTTTATTTTTGAGTGATTGTGGTAAAAGTAAGCATATTTGGATTTTAAACTCATTTTTTCTGGATCATGATAATTAAACGACATTCTTTATGACGTTTATAAATGTTAATTTAACGATTTCTTTACATTTTTTGTAGAATAATAAGAAAAGCATTATTACTCAAGGAATGACATTTTTATACTAATAGAGGAAATATAAGTCACATCATAAAACATTTTAATCTCACTCAAAAAATTACTCAAATTTTCAAACGCTTGATTAAAAATTTATTTTGAAGTATTTTGTAAATCGAATTTTATTTGACATTTCAAAAATTAAAAATGACAATTTAAATGATTTACAAGACAAAAAAGAAAATTTTATATGGTGAGTTTATTCAATATCATTCTTAAATATTTGATGTAGTAAAACTCCAATAGCTACCGTAAATTTACAAAAAGAAAATATTTAATTCTTATTTCATTTTCAAAAAAATTGACGCCAAAATGATATTCCGAAAATCATTTTATGTACATATACGTATATTAAATTATAAATTCTATCCTCAATAACTGGAGAAGAAATTCTCATTCAAAAAGTTTTAATTAATTTTATTAATTTTCATATACATACCTATTATGTATGTACCTATATAGTCTATAATATAATAAGTGGTGTACAGCACTACAGCATATAAAATACAGTATGTATTATTATAATTGATTATATGCAGAGAAAAAATAGGTTCCCATCTACTTCCGATATAAAATTAATTAAATTATCTCTTTTCCTACAAGACAGGATAAAAGAAACTTAGAAATAAAAAAAAATTGATGTAAAGAACGTCATACTTTTAAGATAGTAGCACAACACAAAATATCGCAGAAAAATTTTTTTGTAAACAATATGGAATAGATAGGCGCTTCAATAAATTTATTTATCTAATTATTTTTCCATAATAATTTTTATTTATATTAAAATAGCTAAATGTTTTTAATTAAGTTCACAGTGTCTCTTTAAAATTTTTGCAACCACTACATTACAAATTATCTTTATAAAATGAAATTTACCGTTATAGCACTATTTATTACAGGATGGTCACAAGTAAATATTTATTTACTGTAGTCAGTCTTCTAACAATATTTTGCTATTCGCGGTAAGACAAAAAGGTTTTTGTATTTTATAAGCCGAATCTTGACTGTTTTATGCTATAATTGTCTATGACTACTGTTATGTCGTAAGAAAGAGCTTATGTATAAGTATTCTAATTTTTACAATACATGTTTGAAAGTTTTTATTCAATGTCAAAATAGGATGTTTCGTCTTATTTTTACACATATAGGTTTTGTATAATTTTCAATATTCTTCTCACATTACTTAAATTATGACAAAATAATATTGTATTTGACAAATCTCCTGCTGATTCTCTCATTCTCCACTTTCATCTTTTTTTAAAATAAATTAAAGGAAATTGAAGTCAAGTTAATTAAATTAAATCTTATAAAGGAAATAAAACTAAAGAAAAATTATAAGAAAATAATTCTTCTTCTTTTGTAATATTCAGAGTAAAAATGAACCAATTAAATTCCATTAGTATAACAATCTTCATCAGCTGATATAAATTCTGGCAATATTCACAATCAATGCTATTATACTTATATGATAATTATACTGTTATGTGGTATAACAAAAAATTTACAACAATATTTTTTCTGGTATACATGAAGTTAATGAAATTTTGTTAAAAATTGGAGCAATCACAACGGATTTTGACATTAAATTACATTAGCAACATTGTTTCCAACACTTATGAAAGTACTCCATATTTTGGTCAGACATTTAAATATTTGCTTTTAATTTATTTTTACAATTTTTAATCGACAACTATTAGTCACATGCGCCATAAACAAATATTTCATATTTAATCTAGAATTTTTGGATTTTTTTTAATGCGAGAATAAAATTGAAGAATTCATATTTATTAATCATCGCACAATATAATATTAAAAAATGAAGCGATGACACTTTAATTCAAGTATTGAGTTTTCAAGAGCTGTTGTAAAAAAACGAAACAGAAATTTGTTTCCATAGATGGCGTACATTAAAAATTATTTTATAAATAAAAATTGATTTATTTTACAGACTGTTAGCAAAATGAGAGCCATTGATGAACAAAATAAGAATTGTATAATATTTGCTATAAATGTGATAAATGATAACCTAATCTAAATAAATTGATCTAACTACCCAATACAATTATATTTTACTGTTAGTACGCATTATAGATGTTGATTTTTCCACATATGAAAGAATTTTTATGATTTATACAAAGAAATAGTGAAACCATTTTCAGTTCTTTCAACTTATAATTATTATGCTGAGGGTACAAAAATTCACAATAAAATAAAAAAAAAACATTAATTAATTCTTATGACATAATTTGCATTACGTTAAAATTATAAAAATACAAAGAAAATAGTATTCATAATAATTTGAATAAAAAGAATTTTATAAAAAAAAAAAAAAAGAATTTACGTATGTACGCAAGTATAGGTATTTCTCTTTTTTTAATTATGTTTAGTAATTAAAAAATTGTCTAAAGAATTTAAATTTTCTATTTTTTAATTAAATTTTATTAGGAACTGAGACATTTCTCTTCATGATTCATAATTTATTATAAAAATTATTTAGATTAAATTAAAGCAATTCTTCTTTCTTTGTGCGTATGTATGCAAAATTCTGTCTTTTTGCGATTTATATGTCGTTTCCACTTTAATGTATGCGCGCGTAATAAAAAATTGCATGTATACTTAGTGCGTAGTTGAATACAAATTATTTGATCTTAAAATACCTCATCATTATTCATTTTTTCATAGATAGTAATATTATATGACGTTATTAAGAGCCTTTCACTATGAATGGGTACGTGATATTATGAAAATATTAAGTGGTAAGAATGACAGTCAATTATATTTTCCGTCATCTTTTCCAATCAAAAAAACGTATGTTTGCAGCAGGTTGTATTTTCAATTCAAGCTTAACGATTTGTTTGTTTATTTTTATTGAATATTAAAACAAAGTTTGAAATTGTTACTGAACGAGTTTTTCTACCGAAATTTACAATAATCTAAATAAAAATTTATTTTTGCGTTTAAAAGAGAGAAAAAGCTTAAAATCTCTTACAACTTTGAAAATTTACAGTTTCTTCCTTTTTGAATTTTACAAGAAAAATTTTACCAATTTGAGTAAAAAATATTTTAAAACTGAGAATAAGAAGTAGTAATACGTAATACCCAGGTTTCCCTCTACTTATTGATTCAAATGGTTATTTTAAATAATCTTCACACATATGACAACTTTGATCTTCATCAAATAAAAACAAACACGTTCTAATTAATAAAATATTTTTAATTTAGAAAAAAAATTACCGAAAAGTGGAAAAGCCTAATTAAAGAGTTTCGTTTTATTTCGAATCAACAGTTTTTTTTTTCTATCCAAAAAAACAATTTTTCCGGCACAAAAACAAAAAGAAGGGAGGCGAAAATGAATACATGAAAATTATAGTTGTGTTACATAGGTGTTTTTTTGTTGTGATAAATTTTGGAACATTTTTTTTTTGGTAATTTTCACCCCAAAAAATTGAACTAAAATAAAAATAAAAAAAATTTAAATTAATTTCTAAACATTTATCATTATTTTTACTCCATAATTTTTATTTTTCTATGTTTTTGAATGAAACTAAAGTATACATAAGACTATTCAAATTTTTATATTTTAATTTAAAAGTGCGCGGTGCCCTACAAATTTATTGTCGAATATGCTAGAGAAAATTAGCATAAAGAAAAAAATAATAATTTCAAATTCAATTTTTTTTCCCGTTCCTCTTCTTACTCCCTATGAGAACAATTTCAAATTGCTGCGAAAAAAATATTCATTTAGGGAGTTTTCATGGATTTGTAATCATCAATAGATGAAATAGAAGAAAAAAAAAATATTTTTGAGGTTAGTTTTTGAAGTGAAAACGAAATAAAGGCAAAACAAAAAGCATGAAATAAACAAATATATACAATAATTTTTAGCTACGAAAATTTTAGTTTCCATCCAACCAAAAATACAGTCTGAATTTTTAAAGCGGAAAATGGAAAAAGCCAAAAAAATATATAATAAACTTTTTTTCTCTTTTCAATTCTAGGTGAACAAAATATCTTGGAAGAAACGCATT